GAGATTTTGGCACCTCTAGAGGAGTAAAGGAAGGAAAACAGAGGCAGCCTATGCATGGCGGTGCGTTTCCGAGCAGGACCGAGCATGCATTGCATCGAGCTCTCCTCCCGAGGCAGTTTACTACTTTTCCTAGATTAATTAATTTGCTTAGTTAATTAGGCAATTTGTAATATTAATTAGCTTGCGTAGTTAATTAATTTGTATTATTTATTCGGTCCCTCCGAGTGAGGGCAAAGCTGTAATAAGTGTGGGTGAGTGTGTGTATGTCTTCCAATCCCCACTTCTTTCTTCCCTTTTACTTACCCGCTTTGTTGGTTAGTAATAGGACATGTTCAAATTAGCATACCTTATGCTATGCATGCGTGCATTCATTCATTTGTCCTGCATGCACCGGGTTCGGTACATCATGCTAACTGCATTTGTACTTCAAATTCCAAATTGAATACGTGCATCAATTGATCGCATTTCACATGCCATGTTTAGGTTAGCCGAGCCTATTCTAGCAACATTTTGTATGCGATGCATTAGGCACTTAACATGGACTTGGATCATGCATGTTTGCTAACGAGTTCTTTGTTTTGGCACGGAGTACTATGTAAGTATTTTAATGCTTTAGCATATCGCGTGCGTGTGAATGCTACCATGACAGTATGTTTACCATGTGGCTAGATGCTTATGTGATACACTGTTTGATTGCCTGTGGGTGAAGGTTGGATTGCTTGAGTTGGAATAACTCGTTGAAATCCGTGTTTTAGCCTACTTGCGAGTAGCAAATTCGAAAACGTTTTCTCCAAGATAAACGGATATGCAATGCTTACTTCCAAATTAGGCAATCTAGTCTATACTTGTTTGCTGCGCGCATAACATAGTAATTCTAGGCTAATAAATGGAATAAGAACACATAACGTTTTCAAAAACGGATATCACGGTTAGTAGAGGCCGGTCTTCGGACCGGGCGAGAGGGGGTGCTCATAGCTGACCTTCCCCAATCATACCCTAGCTCCCGAGCCGAGACAACTCCGGTGATGACGGACATGTGGCCTTCGGCACCGAGTCAGGGTTTCCTAAATTCTCCCATTTTAAAAATATTTAGGAGGCGACTCTGTATCTGGCAAAGCAGTCCATGTTTGGCACTACTTTTCAAAAATTTGTTTCTCAAAACGATTTGCCGGATTTGGACTCTTTGGTTCAAGATTAAGAACCGTGACACAAAATCGAGTCCGAACTGTAGCGAGGGGCCTCCCATGCGGGCGCGTCTACACCTTTCGTCTGGGAATAGGGTCTAGGCGGTCTTCGCCATCACCGAACTCCCAATTACATCGGACATTGACCATTACGTCGTCAACTCTCTTACCAGAACTGGCAAGCATGGTTATCAAGTGATGGTTAGTGTCCTTGGCCCCGAGAAAGTATCGCCCCAGCCGACCGGAAGATTTGGCCAAAGCGTAGCAGTGCCGAATCGCCGAAATGCCAAGGTTGATCTTAAGGCGTCGGTTCAACTCTATTACCCCCATGATGATTCGAAAGAAATTTACATTGGGTTGAGAAGGAATCAGACTCCAATAGCGAAGGACGGCCCTAAGCAATGGATGTAGGGGAAAACGGACTTCGCCCTCTGCTATGGATAAGAGAGGGAAGACGATCATATTTTGATCCTCCCTCTCCATATCAAGAGTACTGTGTGTTACAAAAGATAAGTGGACAACGTCGGGAATGGAAAAGTGTCGCCGGAATCCAGAAATACGACCCTCAGAAAGGAGGACATTCAAGTGTTTAGCCATTTTCGTGGGGATTCAAGGTTCCGCCGAAATCAAAATGACAAACAGAAAATAGGGTTGCAAAGAAGAGAGAATAAGACTTATGAGTAGACGGGGCAAGGATAGACGGAGAAGAATTGCAGAAAACGTGAGTCAGAGAAGGGTTGCCTGCTGGCGGTCCAAGAGTCTCGAATACTCGACAAAATGTGCACTCGAAAGGACTGAAATTTCAAATCATAATAAATACGAGATACACGAATGAGGCGGGAAAGTGTAGTGATGACCAAAAAGGTGTGCGCGTTCTGACATCTGTATTGGGGCACACGAAGCCGCCTGACCTATTTTGACTTTTCCAATTCAAGACCAAACACGCCGATTAACTACCGTCAATGGGGAGTTCGGGGGGCAATTGTGGGAGCCGAATAATGGCAAAATCAGAAGGTGCGTACCTTAGAAGACTGATATTAATTGGCTATATCCTACGAGAATGGGAAGCCGAATACAATACATGTGTCGAATAAGTGTAGATCCTTAGAGCTGAATATGAGAAAGGACAATGATTAAAAAGTAGGCCCTGGTCCCGAGGATCAAAAGGAACAGGTATAAATACAGGAATAATGGATTGAGAAAGGTATGTAAGAATGACTTCACTTAACTTAGTAAACAAGCTATCCTGAGGATCTGAACTGACTTGTCCGTCGGAGTGCTAATTCCGGCACCCCCGACCGGAGTATTTGTATCTTTTCAGGTGACTAGCTGAGGATCACTAGCGTCTTCCAGGATCTGAAGAGTATTTCCAAACCTCTTTCCCCACAAAATCTGATATACAATAATAATAAAGGGGCACTGCGGAAGCACTATTAAAATATAAACATGTCCATTGAGCATTACATATATGAAAATCATACAAATTTAAACCTCAACTCTTTCATAGATGTAGATACAAAAGCACATCATAGCATCTTGACACTTATACAGATTGTCTATCCATTCATGTTCCAAAACAAAAGAACTAAACAAAGAAAGAAAATAAACAAAACAAGTTCCATGATTCACAAGGTTGACGCACTTGGATCCACATGAGACCAAGTTCTCCTCATCACGGAGGCACTCCAAAATGGCAGACAAAAGGGTGGACTCTCAAGGTTGCCTTATGCTTGATTCTCCAATTGCTTAACTACATACACATAGGGGAAGGGGGTGAGCTAAATTCCAGTAAGTAATACTAGCATAAAGAGGTTAAATGAATGATGTCTATCATTGCACAAAATCATATCACATGAGTTCGAAACATATCATAAGCGGTTACTTGTCATATCGAAGTTTACAAATCATATTCATATGTGGTACATCCAATAGTGCACGATGGGACCATATAGGTCTAACATACATGGGGACCCCTTGGGTCTACATCAGAGATCTCTGTAACAATGGGCCACAGTATTTTTGCCCCCGGGCGAGGGCCATATAGCATAGGCCATGGTATTGTTACCCCCAAACAAGAGTCGTAGGTCGCGGTAATGTTTCCCTTGAGCGAGGGTTGTAGGCCATGGTATTTGTACCCTAGGTGAGGGCTACACTAAGGATGTCGCAATTACATTTCGAAAGAGACAATCATTCATTATAACAAAGTAGAATTTCAAAATAGCGAACTTGTGATAAACCAAAACACTTTAATAACATGTCTTTGCAAAAGTACTACTCACAGTGGGCGGGTACTGATGGTAGACCTCGGTTAACCGCCTACACAAACACATAGCACAAGTACACATTGAAGTACACATCCATAATAAGTAATGTTTCTTAATTCATTTCCTTTACGTGTGTTTCTATGTTGTTCCTTGATTATGGATGTTCAAATGAGGCTTAAGAATGCCTAAATAAGCATGAGGATGCAACTATGCATTTAAAAGTGTTAGGAAAATTTGGCTGAAAACAAGGTATCCGCTCGATCGCACACTTCATCGCTTGAGCGGTTGAACAGTATGCAAAGGGTTCGCTCGAGTGCACACTTGGTCGCTCGAGCCGTCTATAAAGACTACAAAAGTATTGGATGATAGATTTTTATGCTCGACGATCGCTCGAGCCAAGTGTTGAATAAAAGTAGGTTCGTTGGAGCGCACACTTGGTCGCTCGAGCCAACAGCCAAATGTTTGTAAAAATACTAGATGCCTTCAAAGTTCACTCGGGCCATGATTCCTTCGCTCGAGCGAATGGTATGAATTTTGGGTTTTCCAGATTTGTGTTTGAAGTTCAAAACCAAAACTTTCATGTTCAACACTTGCGTGGTTAGTCTCAAAAGCTTAGAAACTCATTACAGAACTTGAATTGTTGAAAATTATGGAACCATGATCTTGAATACTCTTTCAATTCCTCAAAACAAAGCTCAAAACATCTTGTTCTTAACATGCATTTAACATACTCAACTCTTTTCTTTCTAAAGCATGTATAAATGGAATGTTGAGTACAAAAACATGAAGAACTCTGAGAAATAACCTGAGTGAGGCTCATGCATGTGTGAATTTGACAAAACCAAGTTCAAAAGATGAAGAATTATGCATGCATGTATACAATTCACTTGAATTCACTAAGCTCTTGATGATTTATGCTCATATCTTTCATTTACATGCAATTGGCCCTACAAAGAGGTGAATTCATCTTCCTACATGGATTAACTTCTTGAATTAAGGGTAAGAATCTTACTTAGAGCTCGAATTTGGCCTTAGATAAGCTTACTCTTTATAATCTCCCTTGATTTCTCTTGAATTCTTCTGCTCCCTCTCTCTCTCCCCCTCTCTCTCTCTCTCTCCACAATGTTGACTCAATTTTCAGCACAGGTTTGATGTCAAAAATGAAGTAGCACATATATAAGGTAATTAAGGATTCACTAATCACATATGATTAAGCCTAATCAAGTGGGCTTAAATCTAAATTTTTTTGATTGTTTTATTCTAATTATTTTGATCCGAATCAAATTTTAATCAAACTTACCGTATCATTCTAGAAATTCCAACTAGCCTATTGAATTAACCAATTCTAGTTTTTGAATCGATTTGGGCATTCAATTTGGAATTCTAAGTCAGCAATTAAACAGTTAACTCATAAACAAATAGATAAGTGTCAAATAAACACATAATTATGCAATTTATGCCCAATAAAATATTATGAAAAAATAGTACGAAGGTCGGGGTTGTTACAGTCTTCCCCCCTTTAGGAAGTTTGTTCCTCCAAACTTAAGTTACCTCAATTCGGAAACAAATATAGGTATCGTTGTTGCATTTCTTCCTCTTTTTCCCATGTAGCCTCCTTTCTGTAATGTTCTCTCCTCTCCACTTTCACCATTGGAATGGATTTGTTCCTTAGTTGCTTCAACTGCCGATCAAGGATCCGTATTGGCCATTCCTCGTATCTCATATCATCATCTAAGGCTATTTGGTGGTAGTCAATTACATGAAACGGATCTCTAAGATACCCGCGAAGCATTGATACATGGAAAACATTGTGCATTTGCTCCATTTCCAGCAAGAAAGCCATATGATAAGCAATAGGGCCAAGCCTTTCAAAAATCTGAAATGGCCTGATATATCGCGGAGTTAGTTTCCCTTTTCTACCGAATCTTGTTTTCCCTTTCATTGGTATCACTTGAATAAACACACGATCTCCCACTTCATATTTCAAATCTCTCATTCTCTGATCAGCATAACTTTTTTGTCGGCTCTGAGCAGTCTTGAGTCTCTATTGAATGATCTTTATCTTCTCAGTGGTCTCTTGCACAAGTTCAGATCCATATAAAGCCCTATCTCCAACCTCGGTCCAGCAAATCGGAGACCTGCACTTCCTTTCGTACAATGCCTCATAAGGTGCCATGTCGATGCTCGAGTGGAAACTGTTGTTATAAGCAAACTCTGCCAATGGTAAGTGAGCTTCCCAACTGCCTTGAAAATCTAAGACACACATACGAAGCATATCTTCCAACGTTTGAATAGTTCTCTCAGTTTGCCCGTCAGTTTATGGATGAAAGGTTGTGTTGAATCTCAACTCTGTACCCATTTCTTGTTGCAAACTTTACCAAAATCTATAAACAAATTTAGGATCCCTATCTGACACAATAGATACTAGAACTCCATGTAATCGAATGATCTCATCAATGTAAATAATGGCAAGTCTATAGGCATTAAGTGAAGTTTTCACAGCAAGAAAATGAGAAGATTTCATTAACCTATCAACAATAACCTAAATAGCTTTCATACCTCTAGGCGTTCGAGGTAGTCCAACAATGAAGTCCATAGTCATATGTTCCCACTTCCATTCTGAAATAGGAAGAGACTGAAGTAAACCTGCTGGTTTCTGGTGTTTAGCTTTCACTTGTTGGTATTGAAGGCCTTTGGAGTTGTAATTAGCAATCTCCTTTTTAATGTTTGGCCACCAGTACATTTGTTTCAAATCTTAGTACATTTTGGTATTCCCCGGATGCATTGCAAACATTGATTTGTGAGCTTCATCTAGAATTCTTCTTTTCAACTCGGCATCATTAGGGACGCAAAGACTTCCTTGGAATTTCAAAACTTGTTCTTTGATAGAGAATCCCTGTAATACCCCTGTTCTGTAGTATGCTAATTGGTCCTTAATACGAGTATGATGATGTGTTTAATATGATTTTATGTGCCATTTTGTGAATATATGTGATTTCGAAGTTCTATCTGTTCACCATAAGAATATCTGTTTGAATAATTTACTTTGGAAATTAAATTGGAGGCCTTATCGGCCACAAAACCCGAAATCGATTACGCCATTGTGATTGGCATAATTTTTAGAACCTACGGTGAAATTTAATTGGAAATTGATTCGGAATAAAATAATTAGATTCAAAATGATTAATTAGTGCCCCATTACCTTATTATTATTATAATGCCAATAGTGGGTTTTGTTGGGTAAGGGCACTACACCCTCTATTCTCCCTTCTTGCTTTATTTGACTGATTTGGGACTCAAATTAGAGGAGAGTCGGCTATAGAGAGGGAGACAGGAGAGAACTGTGCAAATTGTAGCTTAAAGATTGGGAACCTTGAAGATAATCCAAGAATTGTTATAGATTGTGAGAATCAAAGCTTCTAGGTGAGTAATTCTTGGATTATAGTTTGTAATTTTGTGTGTTCAAGCTAATTGGGTGATCAAGAGTAAGATTGAAATGAAATTGGGTTGGTTTTGCTGAATTAAAGCTTGACATATGCATGCATGTAAGAAATTGTGTTGAAATAGCATGTATAAGCTTGAAATACATGATTCAAGTAGAGTTTTGGTTGAAACTCATGTTTTGATCACCATTTGTGTTGTCTAAGTTGAGAATGTGGCTAATTCATCACATGCATGTACAATTTATGAAGATATGAGCTTGAATGTATGAATTTGTTATGTTAGAATGAGTTTGATGGGAGATTGGGGCATGCATGTGAATTAATTGTGAATTGAGCTCCATTGGGTTGAGATTTGGGGTTTACATCATATTAGTATACTTATATTTGAGAATTAAGCCATAACATGCATGATTTGTTGGTTGAAAATCGAATTGGAGCTCAAGAACTCAATCTGAAAAACCCATATTTTTTATGTCCGCTCGAGCGGGTTAAGTTCCGCTCGAGTGGGAAAATCGTGCTCCCAGCACTTTTTGCAGACATGGTTCCCGTTCAAGCGGGGAAGTTGACGCTCGAGCGGGGAGCTATGTAGATAGGCCATCCGCTCAAGCGGCAGAGTTAACGCCCGAGCATGATTTTGATGTAACCAGTATTTTTGCAGGCCTTAAGTGTCCGCTCGAGCGGGGACCTTATTTTCTGAAATTCTGAAATTGCATTATGTGTTCTGTTTTCTGTTCTCTTTCACTTGTAAGCACCCTTAGGCATGCATTGAGTATTGTAAATGAGTTAACGAGATAAGAATAAAGCTTAAAGAGGAATATGTGAATTAAAGAACGGATTGAACTATTAGTGACCCTTTTGTGTTCATGAAATGTGTAGGGTCAAGCTCCAAGGCAAATCCACAAGCCGATCACTGTGAGTAATATCGATATTTGAAAGCTTAGCAATGTCCAACTGTTTATTCCCTTATAAGCTTTATGAGTTGCTAATTGGGATTGTGGACAAAAGTCTGACATGAACGAATGAATGGACCGAAAGTTGTTTCGATATGAATAAATGGACCTAAGGTCGTTTTGATAGAAATAAATGGACCTAAGGTCGTTTTGACATAAATGAGTGGGCCGAAGGCCGTTTTGACACGAATGTATGGGCCGAAGGCCGTTTTGACGTAAACGAATGGACCGAAGGTCGTTTTGACATAAATGAGTGGGCCGAAGGCCGTTTTGATGTAAACGAATGGACCGAAGGTCGTTTTGACAGAAATGAATGGACCGAAGGTCATTTTGATAGAAATGAGTGGGCCGAAGGTCGTTTGGACATGTATGAATGGACCTAAGGTCGTTTTGACATAAATGAGTGGGCCGAAGGCCATTTTGACACGAATGTATGGGCCGAAGGCCGTTTTGATGTAAACGAATGGGCCGGAGGCCATTTTGATAGAAATGAATGGGTCGAAGGCTGTTTTGACATAAATGAATGGGCCGAAGGCCGTTTTGACACGAATGGAAATCTGAATGGGCCATAGGCCAGAATGTTTGGAACTACAGTCACTTGATTTGAATTTCGTATAGTTATATATTTGTTAAATAGAAATATGAATTAGGCCCAAGGTCGTTTGGAACATGTTGTTCTACATTGTTATGTAACTTCTGTATTTGATTTGATATTATTCACTGGGCTTTCGCTCACGCTCATTCATGTGTTTGTAGGTGAGCCAAGAGAAGTCCAGACCCAGCCTCAGTGAAGTCTATATGGAATAACTAAGGTTTTGAGAGAGTCACCTCCTGTGTCTCACGCACGAGACCCATCTTCGCCCTTTTGTTATGTATTTACATTTTGTCAGGTTGGCGAAGTTTTGAATACGTCTGTATATAGTTTTCATGGGTTGACTTAGTTTGGATGATCTTGTCTGTATAGAATCTTATGTCATTACACTTTCTGTTGTGAGGTATTAACATATGTACATATGGAATGTTATGGTGTGCATATAAGCACGGCTCTATGGACAAAGTTTTAAATTTGCTTCCGTTTGGCCCCTTTTACTCTGATGAGTCTTGTCTTATTTGGTTTGAGGCCGTAGATAATCTCGTGATTACTTGCCGGTTATGGCCTTAACCCATAGGGGCGGGTTCGGGTCGTGACAATCCCGGTCTGGGCTTAGTTCCAAACTCATCACAAACTTTCTTTAGGAACTGATCATCTCTCTGTTTCTATTTAAATTCTTCAACAATCGCCGGTTGTGCAAACATTACAACCAAAATACTGTCTTGCCCCTGATATACAACTTCTATTTCAAGTTTGTCTAGATCTTGTAGAATTTCCTTTCGGTTTGTCAATAAACATCCACAGTTCCCGTACTTTTTCTACTCAATGCATCAGCCTCTATGTTAGCTTTACCCAGATGACAGAGAATTTGCAAGTCATGATCTTTAATCAATTCAAGCCAACGTCTCTGTCGCATATTTAGTTCTTTTTGGTTAAAGAAATATTTCAAGCTTCTGTGGTTCCGATGTACACTACACATTTAGCCCCGTACAAGTAGTGGCGCCAGATTTTCAATGCAAATGTTATGCCAGCAAGTTCCAAATCATGTGTTGGATAGTTCTGTTCATGTGGTTTTAATTGTCGAGACACATACGCAATCACCTTGCCATTCTACATTAAGACACAACCCAAACCTCGATAAGATGCATCATTGGAAATTACAAGCCCTTCAGTACCTGATGGTAAGGTGCAAATTAGAGCTGTAGTCAATCTTATCTTCAATTCTTGGAATGTGGATTCTCTTTGATTAGTCCATATGAATGGTTCTCCTTTCTGGTCAATTGTGTTAATGGCATCGCAATTTTAGAGAAGTCTCTAACAAATCTCCAGTAGTAACCTGCCAAACCTATGAAACTACGAATTTTTGTTACATTAGTCAGAGTTGGCCAATTAACAATCGCCTCAATTTTCTACGGGTCAACAAATATCCCATCTTTATTAATAATATGCCCCCAAAATGTAACTTCATTCAACCAGAATTCACATTTCTTAAGTTTCCTAAACAATTGTTTCTCCCTGAGTGTTTGCAGAATTATTTGAAGGTGATGTTCATGTCTTCTCTACTCTTTGAGTATATCAATATATCATCTATGAAAACTACAACAAACTTATCCAAAAACGGTTTAAAGATTCGGTTCATTAAGTCCGTAAAGGTTGCTGGTGCACTAGTGACTCCGAAAAGCATGACTAAAATTTCGTAATGTCCATACCTGGTCCTGAAAGTAGTCTTCTCTATGTCTTTAGCCTTAACTTTCAACTAATGGTATCCTGAATGAAAATCAATCTTCGAAAATACTTGAGGCCCCTGTAACTAATCAAATAAATCGTCAATCCGAGGCAAAGGATATTTGTTTTTAATAGTTACCTTGTTAAGTTCCCTACAGTCAATACATAAGCGGAGTGTTACATCCTTCTTTTTCACTAACAACACAGGTGCACCCCATGGTGATGTGCTGGGCAGGATAAACCCCTTGTCAAGCAGTTCCTACAACTGTACTGTCAATTCTTTCATTTCAGCAGTTGACATATGATACGAAGTTTTGGATAGGGGCTGGGTACCAGGCATTACATCAATCACAAATTCAATTTCTCCATCAACTAACTGCCCAGACAACTCTTCCTGAAATACATCAGAGAAATCCTTCACAATAGGTATATCATCTAGAGCAACACTGGAAGACTGAATACTCAAAACACTACACAAATACCCCTGACACCCTTTGTTAATTAGTTTACGTGCTTTCATAACAGAAATTAGGTATGGTGGGGCAACTACACCTCTCTCCTCCAAACAAAATTCAGTTTGTCCCGATGGTTGAAATATTATTTAGATGCACAATCAATGGTCACATAATATTTAGACAACTAGTCCATACCCAAAATAATATCAAAGTGAGTCATGTCTAAGGGCAGTAAATCAACATATAGTAAAGCATTCTCAAGTAAGATTTCACAAGCAGGGTAAAAGGTTGTACATAGCATAGATCCCCCTGACGGTGATGACACACATAATATATATTTCAAAGTTTCCAATAGTCTATTCAAGCTAGAAGCAAATCGCACAAAGGCAAAAGAGTGGGTAGATCCCGAATCTATCAAAACATATGCAGACTGTCCATAAATAGAAAGTGTGCCTGAGACTATGGTTCCTGCATTTGAGTGTCCCCCGGTACAAGAGCAAAAACCCTTCCTTGTCTTTGATTATCCTGTGTTGTAGCCGGAGTTACATTGGCCCTTACATTTGGCGCTGATGCGATTG